AATGTCACTCGAATGCCCAGCAATATAGTATGCTTTTCTAGGAGATCGTTAATTTTAAGTTTAGGAAATAATTCTAACCTAAAGCGCTGGAACATTCGTGACTCCGCCAACTGTGAGCTGTGCAACAAGTTACAAACCCAGCTACACGTTTTTTCCAACTGCAAGGTAGCCCTAGAACAACAACGCTATACTTGGCGGCATGACTCGATTCTGATGACTATTATTCATCACTTAAAAGTCGCAGTTGGTGCAGATCTTCGACTGTTTGCTGACTGTCCTAATTCAGGTACGACCTGTACTTCAACTTTATTTCGAACGCTAAGACCTGATATAGTGGTGGATTTTAAGGGTTCTGTATATGTGGTTGAATTAACTGTTCCCTACGAAACCAATTGTACGAAGGCTAAACGTCGCAAGAAAGAAAGATACAGACATCTAAGATCTGAGCTGATCACGGCGTGTTATGCGTTTGAAGTTATTACACTTGAAGTAACCACTCTAGGGTTTGTGTCGAAAGATATTGACAGATTTCGTAGATTATTACGAACACTTGAAATGAACGACGAACGTATTATTAAAAAATGTATGGAGGTAGCTCTGAGAGCAACATTCTACATTTACTGCAGAAGAAACAAGCCGTGGAATAATCCAGACTTACTGAATTTTTATTAGCTACTATTGATACAAAGTGTAGAGAATGGACCTATCTGTCTAACATAGTGAACTGTTTCTCTATTTTCCTGATTTAATTGAAAGTCTAATTATGTGATATATTTGTATAAATTATCATGTTATTAATAAAGATTTCTGTTGTTTAAAAAAATTATTATTATTATATATTAACCATGCCAGAAATAAGCAAAGATCTCTTGTAGTTACTTTAATTGATCTGAAAAATGCCTTTGGTGAGGTACATCATAAACTTATACGAACTATCTTGACAGCTCATCACATTCCTGAAGAAATTATATGCTTTGTTGAGAAATTCTACTCTGATTTCAGTATCTCAATTATTACGAAAGGGTTCATTACGAAACCAATTCCAGTGCAACGAGGCGTGTTACAAGGTGATTGTTTATCACCCTTGTTATTTAATCTTTGTGTAAATTCTTTGATTCACACAATAAACGACGCGAAATTAAAATGTCTTGGCTATGTAACTAACGCAACGATGTACCCTAGGCACTGGTTCCAATTTGCGGATGACACAGCAATATTAAGTGCACATGAAGAAGACAATCAATTGCTTTGTAATGTATTTAATAAATGGTCAACGTGGGCGGATTTGCATATTCGTGTTGAGAAATGCCATACTTTTGGAATCAAGAAGCAATCCTCAAAAGCAATTCAATACCAACAAGTTATTATCATCTCGGGCAAGCGTGTACCGCCGATTGAATGCGAACAGGGGTTTAACTATCTTGGAAAGCAATTTAACTTTAATATGGAATGCGATCAGATCAAAGTAGAGATACTAAGTGAAATCGACGAATATCTGCAGAAAATAGATCTTTTCCCCATGAATCCTTTTTCGAAAATCAGAATTATTCAGAATTATGTTTACTCAAAGCTCTGTTGGCGATTTTCTATATACCCCTTTACTGAGACCTGGATAAAGCAAAATATTGAGCCAGCTATTTCCAAGTATATTCGAAAATGGTTACAGATCTCGATTAGTGGCAATATTACTCATCTAAAACTACCAAAATCATATCTAGGGATTGACTTTTGCTCTGCTTCAGATATATATTTACAATGCAAACTTTCGGTTAGGCGCATGTTGAAAACATCTAGGAACAGTGATTTTCAACATCTGTATTCTGTAACATCTTCCAAAAATATTAATACGGATGAAATAATTGAGAAAGTATCATCAAATGTAACAAATGGATACGAACTGAAAACCGGAACAAATAAGTTATTGAAACAGCAAAGTACAAATGATATTTGGGCAAATTTTATTACGCTAAAGAAACAAAGTATTATTATAAACTATCTAACTGAAGCGTGCAACAAGAAAATACTGCACTTTTGGCAAGAAATGGTTTGCAGACTACCCCGTAATATAACTTGTTTTGCAAGACGGGCTCTAGTGTTTAACTTGAGCAACAATTCTAACCTCAAGCGGTGGAACATTCGAGATTCTCCAAATTGTGACCTTTGCAACAAAATTCAAACACAGCTTCATGTTCTTTCATATTGCCCTGTAGCGTTACAACAACATCGGTATACGTGGAGGCATGATTCTATATTAAACACCATTCTTCATCACTTAAGGAGAGTGATGTCGGAAGACCTGGAGATTTTTGCCGATTGTCCAGACTCTGGCTTGAAATGTACGTCCAATCTGTTTCAAGCGTTAAGGCCAGATATTACGATTCGTTCTAAAAGAGATTTGTATGTGATTGAATTGACTGTCCCATATGAAACGAACTGCATGATTGCAAGACGACGTAAACAAGAAAAATATCGGGCATTGCGATCACAGTTACTCGTACCGTGTGATAGATTTAAAGTTATAACTTTGGAAGTCACTACTCTAGGCTTCGTCACGAAGAGTATAGGCCAATTTCGCAGGCTATGTAGGTTGTTAAATTTGCAAGACGATCGTATCATAACAAAATGTATGGAGGTTGCACTTCGTGCCACTTTCTACATATTTTGTAAGAGAAATAAGAACTGGTCTTGCCCTGAAAAGCTCAACTTCTATTAGCTACTAATGTGTGACAGTGTAGATAACGGACCTGATTATTCAGAGAACTGTTGTCTTATTTATTAAGTGTAGTTAGGGAAAATTTGGTCTGGACTCATAAATGTATGACTATATGGGTCAGGCTATGTAATTGATTTGTAAAGGTTTAAAAACAAATTATTATTATTATTATTATTATTATTATTATTATTATTATTATTATTATTATTATTATTATTAGGTTTGCGGTGAGGCAGGTGTAGAATGCAATAGGACATTAGTGTCCCTTATAAGGTATTAAACACCAACATACAGTAATTTACACAGTAAAACACTAGCAAGAGCAAACAGACATACGATTGGTTTGACGATACTTAGGACGTTTCAGTTAATTTAATTAAAAGTATGTTGATTATTTATTAGTGGAAATGAAGCAATCTGATTGGCTAAGCAACCTTTCAGAGCGGGAAGGTTTTTTTTTGCATTCGGCCCGCTCGGAAACGAAACTGCATGCTCGCCGTCAATATTCCGCTCTTGTTTTCGCGCCAAAAACTGAGAAGTTAAACAATTTTTAAACTAAGATATCTGCAAAATACTGGCCAATACGTTAGCCTAAAGATAGTCAAAATACGAAAATAAATGGCATCAAGCCTTAAAGACTTCATGCTAAGCACGATATAGTCGATGTACACCATGCGATTTGACAATATTTTGAGAGAACTGTGACTGCATGGAAGTCAGAAAAATACTTAACATGCATAAAACGTAGGCCTACGTCTAGAAAGCTATATATTTGTTTTAAATGCATGCTCATGTATTCGGCCACTTAATGTGGCTCCCTACAGTTTCCAAAAATTTTAAATTTTTTAGATAACCTTTGTTTTCAACGAAATTTATATTGAATACACATAAGACATGGCACTATAATCATTTCCAGGAAAGTTCAGAAGTTTTATGCTGTCTGTTATGTTATTAGTCTGTTTATTACACTGACCTGAAAGGTCAAGTGTTTTAAATCCCTAGTTTTCTGTTTTCTTCTGGGTTTTTTTCGTCGTCGAGAAGTCGAGTTTGCGTTCGCGCATCGCAGGCTCAGGGTGAAACGATTAATCCAAAATGCCATCGATTCTTCGACTCCACGATTCATATATAATAGTAAAAAGCTGGTATTTATGTACGTAAAAGTCGGCTCATGTCATGCTTGTGGTGCATTTTTCGTTTATTAGCCCATATATAGACTTATATGGACTTATACGCACGCGCACAATTCCGAACTCCAATGGTGACATATTCAGTCCAGTTTCAAAATGGCGCCTTTTGGCTGAGTGATCAGAATATATTTCACACAGTTTCGCTGAATTTTCAAAGAGTTGTGCCGGTTTCCTATGGATTTTACGTTGTGTCGCACTCTGAACTTTCTTGCGTGTTGAATTCATATGTGTTTCTTCGTGTAACGACTCGAAAACCCCAAAATTTGGACCCAGCGAATTTTACAAAGGACAAGTTAAAGGTTCGACAGTTTGACTTTTTAACTAATAAACAACTGTCTATAAAACATAAACATCCGTGGTGTAGTTGTGTTCATTTTTTGTCGCACTCTGGACTTTTCTGCATGTTGAATTAATGTTTTTATTTTTGTATTATACGACTCTAAAATTTGGCTTTGAAAATTTGGCCGACCCGGCGGATTTATATATTTTATACAATCAATATGTTGTATTAAACGACTCGAAAACCCCCAAATTTGGACCCGACTCGAATTTGTACAATATAGTGGAATATAAGCAAGTACTAGTTAAAGATTCTACAGTTTATTTTGATTTATTGTATGGTTCTCATTTGTCTAATACAATAACATTTAGTTCACAAGGGCAAGTTAAAGGTTTTGAATTGAATTTATTTCCAAGTATGCTTATAGTACATTACATTTCCCGTGTTATATTATTTATTTATGTTTACATATTTGGAAGAAGGACTATAATAAACCCAAAAGGCTTTTGCGAGTAGTCCTCCTTGAGATAATACTTAGCTATAATGTTAATATATGTCTATTTCTAATATCTATCAGGTGAACATTGCGGTTCATCAGTTCAATTGGAGTACATATAGTTAAATTATATGCGGAACAATTACTAAATACATTCTATATAATCGTACTCTAAAAGTTGTTTTTTATTCCCTAGTGTACACCAATCATTATTTCTAATTTTATTCTATATAACATGACGTTATAGTTTGTCTTGAGAAAACAAATATATTTTCATTTCCGTTTTGAATTTCTTTTTTGTACATGAATCTTTTATTTTTTTTGCTATTCCATTCCATATTTCTGTTCCCGTATATCAAGCTTGTCGAGTTTTGTTAATTTTTCATTCATGGACGAGATAACAGTCCATATTTCCTCAAGACTGACTTTATTGGATTCTTGCATTTTCGGTTCTTTTTTACTTGGTTTAATTGGTGTACTATTTACGGAATTATTAAGACTTTTTGCGGAGCGTTTTAAAGACATTGCTTCACCTGATACCTGACACCTGTTTGACCATATTAAGATACATGTATTGAAATTCGCGCAATAGCTACTAGAATTCTCGCAAGTAAAGATAAAGCGAGCGTTCAAAATACCAAAAAGAACTAAGACATTTATTGTATGGTTCTCATTTGCCTAATAGAATAACATTTAGTTCACAATATAATATAAACACAATATAAACAAGGAAAAGTTAAAGATTTGACAGTTTCACTACACAATGTCGACAATATACCTTAATGCATGTATTAAAATTCGCGCAGTAGCTACTAGTTGGTGCGCCAAACGCTTTGTAGTAGCTATACTAAAGATACAGCGTGCCTTCAAAATACCTACAAGAACTAAGACATTTATTGTATGGTTCTCATTTGCATAATACAATAACATTTAGCTCGACGCGAATTTTAACTAGTATCATATTTCATAATATAATGAACAATGTAAACTAGCCAATTCTTTTCACCTACAAAATGTCGACAATATTATATACCTTAATACATGTATTAAAATTCGCGCAGTAGCTACTAGAGTTCGAGCAAGTAGTAAAGATAAAGCTTGCATTCAAAATACCGAGACATTTATTGCATGGTTCTCATTTGCCTAATACAATAACATTTAGTTCACAATATAATATAAACAAGGAATAGTCGTTCGATTTGGCAATACTGTTTGCTCGTTTTGAATGTGTATTGATCGATTTCAATAATCGATTTACATATCAGTCTGCTCGATTCGAGTAAGTGTTGCCCGATTTGTATCATTGGTGATTTGGTGTTCGACTTATAACTATTAGACCTATTGAATTTTGACAGTAAAAACGCGCCATATATCATGTATTAAAATCCGCGCAGTAGCTACTAGAATTGGCGCAAGTAAAGATAAAGCGGTGCGTTCAGTGAAATACCAACAAGAACTAAGACATTTATTGTATGGTTCTCATTTTCCTAATACAATAACATTTAGTTCACAATATAATATAAACAAGGAAAAGTTAAAGGTTTGGCGTTTGACTATACAATGTCAGCACTATACATGTATTAAAATTCGCGCAGTACGTATAGCTAGTGCTACTAGAATTCCGGCGGACCAATTGAATTTTTACAGTAAAAACGCGCCATATAATACATGTATTAAAATTCGCGCAGTAGCTACTAGAATTGGCGCAAGTAAAGATAAAGCGTGCGTTCAGTGAAATACCAACAAGAACTAAGACATTTATTGTATGGTCAATTCTCATTTTCCTAATACAACTCAACTCATAGTTATTATGTGCTCATTTGTTATCAGGTGCTCATTAATTCTTATATCAATATTGGAACATGATCACGGAATACTGCGTAGCGCAAAATCTCCATTCTTCAAAAACGTATCGTTCAAGGCAACTGAGAGGCGAAGAAGACAATGATATATTGTATCTGACTGCTTCACTACTCAGAAATGATCCACGATCATGATTTGATAAAGTTGAATATGGTCACGTGATTTTCGGTGTGAATCTGAGATACTATCTTAGATATTATTACTAATATCTGATATTAAACTAAATGTGATTAAAGCACAAGAGATGTTACCTATGTCTCATTTTATATTTTTATTTTTTTCCTATGAAGGTTTGTTACTTGTGCAAAAGCGCAACTTTAAGTTTCAAACAGTTTCTGCCTTCTGCTTTTTGTTGTCGAGTTTATATTGATTTTCTTTGGATAAATCTACCGCTGAAACTGTTCTATACGAACTCTCTTGCTCCTCATTCCCTTGTCTATTACACCATAGCCAATCTCGTTCCCCGAGCCTGCGATCCTCGGGAAGGAAACGAAGGCTCTGGGATAATCCGTTGCCGAAAGCCAGGAATTCAGGCTAAGATTGAACTGCACATTCCATATCAGCGGCCAATCAGATTCCTCCCTGAAACGGATCATCCCAGAGCCTTCGTTTTCTTCCCAAGGACCGCAGGCTCAGGGAACGAGATTGCACCATAGCACGCATGTCATCATTTTCAGGTCAGTGTGAACGCCTGAGTAGGCGTCTTGTTATGTTACAAAACAACCCTTATATACATGAATCTAATTAGCATGCATATATACTGAATATATTACAATTCTCTTTTTTTTTAAATTTTAAAGTTATTTAAAAATGTATAAGGTCTCTAATTAAACTAAGTGTCTATTACTGTTCGATGATAATACTTATTATTATACATTTAATATGTATTCTCGTTTCTAATTGGTCAGAAAGCACCGGCTAATTTTCAGTATTCGGCATTTATTACGTATTTTCCGCCGATGACGTCATCAGCGTCCAATAATTGTTTTTTTGGATCGAACTTGCATCCAAAAAAAATAATTATTGGACTCTCTCGTGCCCAAACCCTTGCGCGGCCAAAAGCTTGAACCTATAAGCGCGCGAAAAAAACAAACAAACAATGGCCTACAGCAGATTTGCTTCGCTGAATGAAAGTGAACTCTCCAAATTATTGGCAGATAAGGATAGTGAAAGCACGAAAAAAGCCACAAAGGGGTAAATAGAAGTAGAAATAGAATATTTAGCTGACCTTTGATTTTGTGCAAGGTGTTTGATATTCAAATTGTACTTTTCCTACCTCATGAACAGGAATCGTTTTATACGTTTCTCATGTCTTTAAATGTATAATAAAACAATTATTGGATTCGGCTTTCGCATGATATCAAGAATTATTCAGACCTCGGTCTATGTTATCCGCCTCAGCTTCGCTTCGGCAGATAACATTGACCTCGGTCTGAATAATTTTTGATATCATGCTCAGCCTCATCCAATAATTGCTTAATAATACTAGTTCACGACTAATGTTCATTATATATAACCATTATATATTTAACTTAATAGTCAATCTAAATCTAAATCTAAATGTCTGGTAAATAATATGTTCATGATAACCTTAATTAACAAAATTAACATACTTGATATCTCTCAGGTGGCTTACTCAATCGCCCGCTTCTAGTTTTATAATATTGTCCAGTACTTGGCTCTGCGACTTGTTCCTCACGAACTTCTCTGGCACCATCAGACTGGAAATCTTCAATTGGTTCCCACTGTCTTGATATCTGAACACCATACTTCTGCTTTCTGATATGATTTCTGTTTCTTCTAAATCGTTGACCATTGGGTGTTTGAATGATGTACGATCTAGGTGTTTCCAGTCTCTCTTTGATCACTGCTGGTTTCCACTTCTTCTGAACTTGTACTCGTACTGCTTCTCCTTCTTGCACTGCGGGAAGCTCCGTGGACCCTCTGTCATAATATCGTTTTTGCTTTCTTTGTTTTTCTTCGAACTTTTCTTTCATTCTCTCAGGATCAACAACTTTTGGCTGAAGTTGATTTGGGGTAGTTGGTAAGTGCGAACGCAAACGTCGGCTCATCAAGATTTGTGCTGGTGAAGCCACGTTACCAATGGGTGTGTTGAGATACTCCAACAAACTTAGGTACGGATCTTTTCCATCTTGTTTTGCTTTCGATAGCAAACGTTTCACGATTTCAACTGCTTTCTCAGCCAAACCGTTTGATTTCGGATAATATGGACTTGAAGTCTGGTGCTCGAAATTCCACTTTTGTGCGAACTGCTTGTACTCCATGGCAGTGTACTGAGGACCATTGTCACTTCTTACGACTGATGGAATTCCATGTCTTGCAAATATGGACTTCATATGATTCACAACAGTTCTGCTGGTGGTGTTTTCCAACTTGACTACTTCAATATAACGCGAAAAATAATCTGCCACGACCAGATAGTTGTTCTGTTCCCACTGAAACAAATCAGTTGCGACCATTTCCCAGGGTCTCGATGGTATTGTTCTTTGCACCATAGGTTCTTTGGGATTCGACATCTGGTATTCTTGGCAGGTTTTGCATTTGGATACAACAGCTTCAATTTGCTCATTCATTCTTGGCCAAAACATAATGTCCCTTGCTCGTCGTTTGGATTTCTCTATACCCATGTGACTCTCGTGTATTCTTTCTAGCATCTTTCCACTCATACTGAGGG